AATTTCATGTGTATTTCCTTAAAGTCATAGAACTTGAGCTATATAAATTTTTGCAATATTTAGCATTTATTAAAAAGGGTAGTAAGTTTCTATTCTCATTTTTAGGCTGTATCTTTGGTGAGCTCCTAAAGAGGTCTAGAAAGAGAAAGGGAGAAAGAAAGACATATTGTTTTAAAAGGACTGTCTTTTATTCTGGCTCCTAATTTAAGGGATATCTCCTTTTTTTTTTTTATTTTTGAATACTTGAAGTGGACAAAATTAGCTTGTTAGGAGGAAGGAACATTTACAAGAATCACACAGGCATTTCAAAACCTGAAGTTGATGCTTTTATGCAGGTATTTTTAAGAATAAAAACCACATTCTCTAGGCCTGTTGGAATTAGGACTTTCAGGTTTAGCGTCAATGTAGTGTAGCGAACTTGTTTGTTCCAGACAACATCAGGTATTGTCCTGGTTGTCTGGAAAATCATAAGACTCAGGAATGGTGCTGGATGTGGCAAGGGATATGACTAGGTCTGGGACTGCTCCCATTAATGTTCTGGCATCCTGACACTGAAATGCTACCTTTTCATGCAAATAGTAGTCCCACCAGCATGCTCAGTCCTTGCTATTACATGATTAGTGTTCTCACATGCAATCAATAGCTCCCCAGAGTGTCCCACTGTAATGGCCACTTTGATCAGTCTCTCTGGTAGGGAGGTCTATTTAGCAGCAGGATTTCAGCAGACTGAAATGTGGTATCAATAGCCTAAGAATACTCTCTCTGCTTGTCCCTATGAAATATTTGCCTTTTTTTTTGCATGCTAGTTCTACCAGAGCAAATGACTTTTCCAATACCTAAAGGTTTAGAAGTGCCTCGTAGGGAAATGCAGCAACTACACAATTGCTAGCACATGTGGCAGGGTCTCTCAAGGTCACTAGTGGATTGAGTGAAGAGTTTCAAAACACAAGTTGTACAGATATTAAACACCTACCTTAACAGTTACAAGCTGCCTGTAAGAGAGCACAGTGTGAGGTGTGGGGAGGCCAGGGGAAGGCACTGCCGTTTCTCTTGCAATCTACCTCCGTTATCCATCCAGTTATACAAGACCTAAGCTGAAAACCTCTCTGCCACCTCTGCTGAATACCTGAGCGAGGGAAGGGGGTTGTACTGAGGGCTGTTTTACCTCCCAGAGTGACTGCAATCTGCCACAACAAAATGAAAGCAGCCCAATCTCCAGCCTGCCTTTCTAGCAGAGCACATCAGCAGGAGAGGAGGGGAACCTCTACACACACGTGCTCCATCCCCCTGTGCCTCACTAATTTTAATTGTACTGCAGGACAGTTTTGTTCTATGAAAAGTAAATCTAATAAAAATATTATTAATTAAAATAGTAATAATTGTGATGTAAAAAGACTTAAAACCTATTAGTTTTTTTCTTGACTCCTTTAATACAGTTGTAAGAATAGAGTAATCATCTCAGATGTCTTTTCTGACCTGGGTCCTATCTTTTCTTACTCAGGCTTTCAAAGGAGAAGCCTTCAGCAAAGGGTCTGAGGTTACATTTTCATTTTTAGCTTGATATCCTAAGGAAATGAGGATAATGCCATTGCTGTGTGTCTGTCTGTCCTTATTTTTCTCTCATATTGCCTCACAGAAACTTTTGAGGCTGCCAGTCAATTTTGGCAAAAAAAAAAAAAAAAAAAAAAAAAAAA